GTATAAGTTATATGGACCACTTTTATGAGAAAATCAATGTGCTTTTCTATAATTTTGAAAACTCCTTAAATTTTCTTTAAAAAAAAAAAAAAAAAAAAGCAAAACCGAATCTTCTTTAAAAACGTATTTTTATACTATTATGGTATTTGTTAATATTTTTTAATATTTTCAGTTTTCATTTTAATTGTAGTCTTCATTTTTTTATTAGTTTTTTTTATATATAATTCTATTTAGCTTTAATTTATATTTTATTTCCATTTTAGTTTTAGTAATGGTTAGTGCCAAGGCAACATTTCAAATTTTCGCTGAAGTTTTTAAGTTTACGTTTTTCATCTAACATCTATATTTTATTTTATTTCGGCTTTATTTCAATTAACAGAAACAATATTTCATAGTTTTGGTTTTAGTTACCACTTAACAACACTGCTTGATTTCAGCTTTATTTCAATTTACGAAAACAATTTTTAATAATTTTAGTTTCAGGTTATGTTTACATGACAGTGATGTACTAAAAACGGAAAAGTTTTGCATATAATGACAACGTTGCGAAAATGATCCCTGTTAAACATGGATCTGCAAAAACCACTAAAAACGTTATGCATGCCAGGCCAGCAGTTGACGATACCACTTTGTAAAGAAACACTGTGTACCTATGGACTCAACACGTAATATGCATGCGCAAGATGTTACTATTTTCACAAATTCCCATTTTCGTAGTTTACTCAGATATGATAACGTTATTGTTTTGAATGTGAACTTTGAAACCCTTTTTTTGCAGTTTGCATTTTCAAGCCCTCAAATTACCACTGCTGAACAACCAAACTGAATAAAAAGTTTTCCATTTTTAGTTATAAATGGTGTCGTGCACCACTTAACACTGCTTTAAAAATTCCCCTTTTGTGTTCAATGGAAGCAAGAATAAGTAACACAGGGTTTGGAACAAACATAAATGGTGAGTAAATAAAGGCAAACTTTTCACTATCCCTTTAAAAGTCCTCTCAGCCTACATTTTTCCTTTATATCCATCAGTGCAATCAGTGTCTCTTGTTTTAATCTCAGCCTCAGTGTCGTTTCCAGTATGAAGCACAAAAGAAAGAACAAAACAGCCAGAAAAATAATTTGGCATCTCTTAAAATATGCCTCCCAGCGCCGTGGAAGGTTCTCTAAACTCATAGACAGATTAACAGTGACATGTTTATTTTCTCTGTAAAACAGCATTTGGGTTTACAACCACCCGAGCACTTTGGGCTCATGGTGATTGATTTAGCAGTAATAAGGAGTCTGTTTCGCCAATTTTATTACATGAGAAATTGTTTTCTTTCTTCTGGGACTGAATGGAGACGCTGATTGATTTTGCCCGTGCAAGCGTGATTGCAGCTAATTGGTCTCATTGGTTCTTCTGTGCGATCCGTGATTGTGGGTAATGGGTCTGATTGGCTCTGTTGTAGAAGTGCGATTGTGGTCAATGAATCTGATTGATTGTGATTGGCTAGAGTTTTCACAGGGGTCAGGGTTTGCCTCTGCTGGTAGAGTTTATAACTACACCATGTTGGACTAACTAGACCAAGCTAACCAGCCCGTAATCTCATTAGTTCTGTTGTATAAAATGGCTAATTAATCTGATTGTCTGTATTGCATAAGCACAATTATGACTAATGAATCTGATTGGTTGTGTTGTGCGGAGATTGGATTGTGGGTAATTGGTTTGCATGTGGAATTTGGTTGCATTTTTTCTTTAAAATCATTAAGCAGTTTCCAGCCTTCCTCCTTTAAACAAATGACTTCTCAACACAGCTATAGTATAGTAAGCTTGAACTGGTCTGACCTTTGTGTTAAAGCCTGCTTTCTCATTTACTAAAGTGTGAAACTCGTCGTTCTTTCGCACTGAACTTTAGCCATGGCTAAATGAACATTTCCCTATAAAAAAAAAACTTTTATTGGCATTCATTTTATCAAACCAAGTAGTATTGTTAAACTGCAAGTGGTTTTTACATGTTTTTAAGTGCATTTTAAGATCTGATCCTACATCAGTCCATCTTTTAGTAGGAATAGTTCATCTAAAAACGAAAAAGCAGAAACTTGCACTTTTCCAAGCATGCCTTTCCCAATGAGAAGACTAAAATTTAGGCTGTTATTTTTTGCAAAACTTGTATTTGCATCAATGTTGAGATGCAAAAAATGGTGTGTCCAAGCGGCTTGCCATATTTGATGTTGTTGATGCCAAATTGCATTAGTCCATGCATGTGTCATTACTAAACTGAATTGAAAAAATAACATTTTAGTACTTTGAATAATGGATTAATAACTTTAATTTCAGTCTGTTCCTCACACGAAGGTATGGAAGCCCATTTCCACCACAAAAAAAAAAAAAGAAAAAATAAGTGTGACTCATTTCATAATTCTAACTTTTTTTCTTGCAATTGCGAGTCTACACCTTGGAATTCTGACTTTTTTTCTTAGAATTGTGAGAGATAAACTTGCAATTGCGAGTTATATAGTTTTTCTGGCAAATGTGAGTTTGTATCTCGCAGAATCTGACTTCTTTTCTCAATCTCACAATTCTGAGATAAAAAATCGCAATGTGGACTTTTTCTCATAACTTTGACTTTATATCTCGCAATTCTGACTTCATAATGCGATTGCGACTTCATATTGCGCAATTCTGAGAAAAAAGTCAGAATTGCGAGATATAAACTCACAATTACGAGAAAAAATGTCAGAATTGTGAAATAAAAAGTCGCAATTACCTTTTTTTATTTTGTATTCAGTGGCGGTAACAGGCTCCCATACAAAACTCTCATATGGATTAAAAAGGCTTGAAATGTTGTGCTTAAGTCATATAGACTGCTTTGAGTGTTTATTTAGAAGCTTGTGGGCATTATGAGCAGTCACTGCATGTAAAAAACTGTGTGAAGATGCATCTAAATTCGTCTTTTTGTGTTATGTAGAAGTTAGAAAGCCATTTGGAATGGCTTGAGGTTGAGTAAATTATGACAGAAATTAAATTATTGGGTCTTCGTGACTGGGCATTCGGACAAATGGGTTTCTGACTTTAAATGTTGTTGAATGCATCATTTTCCTTCCTTTCACTGGCCTCAGCGTGAGATCTGATGAATGGTGTGTTTTATAGTATTAGGGCTCTTAAGAAAAAGGACCAATTCTTCTTCTTTTCTCAGCAGCGGGGACACTTCAGTAATGAACAAGCACTTTGGGTGCCGTACTAAACTCCTAAAAGCTTTGTACTGTAAACAGCATGTGAGTAATTGAATGGCTAATGCCACCATAAAGAACGTCCACCGTCCACCGAGAGATTCCTGCATTTGTAATGAAGAAGTGAAGGACGTCTGTGGATTCTAGAGTGAAAACTAAGGTTTCAGCTTCATTAGATGTCGGTTAGAGTGTTGGCCGACAAGTGTTCAAATGAAACGGTTGCCATTTCTTACCAGCAGCATTGAGGAGACTCTGTGGAAACTGGCTCGGGATTGCTGGAGCTCTAACCCTGTAATAAGCTCTAGTCTCCTGCTTTGATGGGCATCTGTTTCCTCACAGCAGTGAGACAGAACTGTACTGTGAAGACAGATTTGACTGTTCAAACTGTGTGGAATCACAGCCAAGGCCAAACAGTTTTGTAGTTATTTTGATTTTGCACAACACACCCTCATGTTCAACACATACTTGCCAAAGAGCTCTTAGAATTTACTGCATAATTTGATTCATGGCTGGGCGGTTTGACTTGGGCCTGTAAGAAACCACTTAATAACCACCCGGAGCTCCCTAGCAACCACTCGGAACACCTTAGCAACTGCATAGCAATGCCTTGGCAACCACTCAGAGCACCTTAACAACTGCATAACAATACCCAGGCAAATGCCCAAAAGAGTTTAGCAATTGCATAGCAATGCCATGGAAACCATCCAAAACACCTTAGTATGTGGATGGAAACTCTCTGGCAACCACCAAAAACATATAGTAATGTCCTACATAGCAACGTCCTGGACACCTTAGCAACTGTATAATATTGCTCTGGCAACCACTCTAAGCATCAAATCAACTGCATAGCAACGCCCCGGTAATCATCCAAAACACCTTATCGACTGCATTTTAACTCCCTGCCAACCACTCAAACCACCGTAGCAACACACTGACAACCACTCAAAGGATTTTAGAAACTGCATAGCAACACCCTGGCAACCACTCAGTGCATCTTAGAAACTGCACAGCAACACCTGGCCAACCACCCAAAACACCTTAACAATTGCATAACGGCACCCTGGCAACCACTCAAAACACCTTTGTAGCTCCCTGGGAACCACTCTAAACACCTTAGCAACTGTATAGCAACACCCTGGCAACCATTCATAGCATTTTAGAAACTGCATAACAACACCCTTGAAACCCCTCCAAGCATCTTAGCAACTGCACAGCAACACCTGGCCAACCACCCAAAACACCTTAACAATTGCATAGCAACACCCTGGGCAACCATTAAACACATTTTAGCAACGCCTTAGCAACCACCCACATCACCCTAGCATCATGTTGAGTTTTTCGTGAACATGACTTTGAAGACCATCATGGGTTAGAGTCTTATACGTTCTGATGAAGAAGAGTATTAGAAGATGGTCCTTTGTTGGAGTAACCATGACAACCTCATTGACCTTTATCAGGACAGAATGTGTTTTGTTGTCAGGCTAAAGCGATACGCAGCAGCAGCAGCTCGACTGCAGGAAATGCCAGAGCGCTGCTGAAGGATCCTAATGTTGAGTTTGGCTTCGGTCCCAGAGGTCACAGCAATATGAGATGCTGAAGGCCTCACAATCGCGTCTGAACTGGGATCAGCTCTGACCAATTTTTGGGTGGAATTGTGAAATGAGTTTGCTCTGCCATGCTGGATCAGCAGCTTTTCGCTTGACTGTTTCTATTTACTCGCCCGAGGTGAAAACATGTGTCGGTTTTTCTCCAAATAGCGACTCGAAGACTCATGATTTCCTTTCTCTCAGCAGATGTGGACGAGTGCGCCGAGGCCCTGGACAGCTGCAGTATGGATGCCATCTGTCAGAACACCCTCAAGTCATACAGATGCATCTGCAAATCAGGATACAAAGGCGACGGAAAGCACTGTGAAGGTGAGAAACGCTTACAAAGAGAAAAAAAAATGAAGGACAAATGAGTTCAGAATAGAAACGCTTGATTGCTGTAACTGAAAACTGAATTACTTTTACTTAGATTCCCCCCTTCTATGTAAAGCGCTTTGAGTGCCCAGCTAAACACCTTAGCAACTGTATAGCAACACCCTGGCAACCATTCATAGCATTTTAGAAACTGCATAACAACACCCTTGAAACCCCTCCAAGCATCTTAGCAACTGCACAGCAACACCTGGCCAACCACCCAAAACACCTTAACAATTGCATAGCAACACCCTGGGCAACCATTAAACACATTTTAGCAACGCCTTAGCAACCACCCACATCACCCTAGCATCATGTTGAGTTTTTCGTGAACATGACTTTGAAGACCATCATGGGTTAGAGTCTTATACGTTCTGATGAAGAAGAGTATTAGAAGATGGTCCTTTGTTGGAGTAACCATGACAACCTCATTGACCTTTATCAGGACAGAATGTGTTTTGTTGTCAGGCTAAAGCGATACGCAGCAGCAGCAGCTCGACTGCAGGAAATGCCAGAGCGCTGCTGAAGGATCCTAATGTTGAGTTTGGCTTCGGTCCCAGAGGTCACAGCAATATGAGATGCTGAAGGCCTCACAATCGCGTCTGAACTGGGATCAGCTCTGACCAATTTTTGGGTGGAATTGTGAAATGAGTTTGCTCTGCCATGCTGGATCAGCAGCTTTTCGCTTGACTGTTTCTATTTACTCGCCCGAGGTGAAAACATGTGTCGGTTTTTCTCCAAATAGCGACTCGAAGACTCATGATTTCCTTTCTCTCAGCAGATGTGGACGAGTGCGCCGAGGCCCTGGACAGCTGCAGTATGGATGCCATCTGTCAGAACACCCTCAAGTCATACAGATGCATCTGCAAATCAGGATACAAAGGCGACGGAAAGCACTGTGAAGGTGAGAAACGCTTACAAAGAGAAAAAAAAATGAAGGACAAATGAGTTCAGAATAGAAACGCTTGATTGCTGTAACTGAAAACTGAATTACGGAGATTGGGATTCCCCCCTTCTATGTAAAGCGCTTTGAGTGCCCAGAAAAGTGCTATATAAATGTAATTATTATTATTATTATTATTTATTATTTTCTCTTGAAAAAGTAAGGGATTACTCAAAAAAAAATTGTATTTAATTACAGTTACTTTTTATATAATTGCATTAAATACTGTATAGACTATAGAACAATTCTATATAAAACTAGTGAATTTATCATTGAAATTTAACGTCTAATGCAAAAATCAGGGTTGGAAATTAACTGGGGCTTTTCGCAAAAATGCCACAAAAATGAACATAAATGCCCCACAAGTTTAAGATATAAGATAAAAGGGCAAAAATTGCCCCTGCATAATTACAATAAATCTATTACAGCTGTCGCGATAAAAATGAAATGTGAAAAGTGTCAATTAATGACATTTAGAACTGCGCATGTGCATCAGATTGTTTTTTTTTTTTTACAGCGTTGAGTCTTCTAACCAATCACACGCGTTTCTGTTGAGCTTATGAATGCGATGGCCAATCAGAGGCGTTTAGATTAGTCAGCGCTGAAAATGCCGGAGTTTTGTTTGAGTGCGCACTCTCTGACTGACTTAAGCGTGCTCATGAATTGTCATCATAAACAACTAAGTGCAGAAAAGATGTAAGTATTAAGAGACTCATTTCGCAGATTCAGTGATTATAATTTTACTTTAAACAGCATAAACACATTTCATTACACCAAATACACAAAATAATGTTCTTTTTAGCAGCATCATATGACCCCTTTAACTTGCGCTAGACTGGGCATGTTTGTCTGTGTAGCTAGAATGTGATGTGCAGACGTTTGACGTTTTATATGTATTCTATTAACAAACATTAAAAATCATTATTATAATATCAAGAGCAACAATCGATAGCAATGGTGTTTGTCATAATATTACAGCCTTATGAGTTCTGTATTCTGATTGACTGAAGTAATTGGTTAAATTTAAGTAGCTGACATTAAACAGAGATACAATACAATATCTAAATATTCTTAAATCAAGATACATTTACTTGAGAATCAAAATAACTTCAGATATTAAGTCTTGTTTTCTGAAAAAATTTAGCAAAATGAAGTGAGTTCATGCTTAAAACAAGAAAAAAAATAGGGGCAAGAAAAATAAACAATTTAAAAGGGAAAGCAAGTGTATTTTTCTTACGTCTTGTCCTTTTTGCAGAATTAATATGCAAAAACCAGGAACAGGCATTATAAACTAACAATAGACAATAGACATAATAAAATTAAATGCAGTTTCCAAGCTACACACATTAAAATTGCATAGATTTAAAACAAGATAAACGTGTCTGAGATCAAACTGCATAGGAGAATATATATTTAATATGCCTATAAATTTAAGAAGTTAATTTAGTGCAATTAAGTATTAAAAAGAATGCAAAACAAGTCTACTTCAATTAGATTGTTAGACTCAACTCTAGGTTTTGTCTGCCACAATAATGAATGATCTTAATTACTCATATGCAATTAATTCATTGAATTTAATGGCATATCATGTAATTAATTTGATTTTTATAAAATGATTGACTGTACAAATTTTTGGATTAAATTTATATTTCTTACCCCACTAGCAAACTGTTTCTCTTTTTTCCAAGCACAGATCTAGCCAAACTTGAGGTTTAAACCATAAAAAAAACAATTTGCCAGTGGGGAAAGTAAAATAAACGTGATTCAAATCTTAATATCTTATGCTTCTCAAATATATTTATCTTGTTTAAGCATGGTCAGATATTTTTTCTTGGAAACAAGACAGGATTACTGATTAAGAAACGGTTGTTTTTGCCATGTACTGTAGTCTATAATAAGATCACTCTGGCCGATACTCTCT